CTACAATCTCAGGAGCACTGCAATGATCTTTTCTTCTATCTGAAGTATTTTTGCTGCTGTGGTAGAGCAGGTAAACTCCCCATGGTTATTGGGCTGTCTACTTGTAACATTAATGACTTTTTATCAAGTAAGGTGTGCGCCAGAAGTTTCCCCTAGGCTACCACCCACCATATTTCTTTGATTCTGTCCTCAGAGCCCTCTTGAAAGTTCATGAAATCGAAGCAGGACAGCTTTCATTTTTTTTTCTGTGTACAGTCCCTACCCTATATTAAAAGTTCTAATATAGAGCTGCTGTTCTGGTTATGGAATAATATCATTTCTGACATATCAAACAATGACAGCAGACTCTCCAAGATTTTTTTATGTAACCTCCTGGCCTGCCAAGTGGCCCAGCACATGGTGTATACAGATGCACCAGAGACAACTTTCATACCATAAATTCCTTTCCTGCTCTTCTGCTGTGAATGACAACAATATTTTCCACTCATTTCAGTGGCAACAATTCCAGTCCTAGCACAGATTGCCAGTCTAGTTATTCAGGCTTAACAGCAGTTAGCATTTTAGGATAACTTTTTCTCACCCTAATTTTGCTTTTCTTTTTTTTTTTTGCTCAAGATTTCTTTCTCATGCTCCCTCTTCTCACTACACCTCTCTTTTTTTAATTTTTTAAAAAAGCAATTTGCCCACTGCCATTTGGTTTCTCAGCAGGGCTGTTTATCAGCACTAGTCACTAAGAGAACAGCTGGTAAAGGAGAGAAAAAGTCAGATCCTTAAGAACAAAACTGAGGATTCAAATATGTGAGCCTCTACTCTAAATTGTTTTGTTATGCAATTTGTATTAAACTCGCTCCTTAAGTCAGGGGCATACCCTGCAGCACGTAAAGTTCATAGAAACAGACAAATAATACCCAGAAGCACATACTTGTACAGATAAAGCAAAGGAAGACACCATTTGTTGTTGTGCAGCATTTGTAATTCTGAGAACTCTCCCCTCATTCTGAAGCAGATAAAGTGGTTGGAAGAAAAAAAAGATGAGACTCACAGCTGGAGGAAACACAGGTGTTGAAGTCTGTTGTTACTGCTTTGTTGTGGCTCAAAACAGGCAGGCATGCTTGATATGGGAGAAAGACAAAAAAAAAAAAAAAGAGATACTTGGGCAAATTGAGCCCAGGACTAAGTGAGTTCAGCTGCCAGGTGGGTCATATTTTCCTACTCTTATCCTTTGCATGGTGAAGTCTTACCTGGTGAAGACGACCTAAATACTGTGACACCAGACAAAGATCTGAACCACTGGTTTCTAACCGTCTTCAGCAGCAGTTTCAGGTATGGTTTCAATAACAATTGCCCTTACACTGGAGATGAGCCTGGTTCACTGCAAGAAAACTTAATAAAATTCTTCTGAAGCAAAGTTTCAAAGTGAAGATAGCAGTCAAAAGCAGAGCTGGAGCTTACCAAGACTATTGCCTAAAATGTCAGCTTGTCCCACTTGCAAACCAGTTGACACCATTACCAATATCCCCTTTTTGTTCAGACCTTTGCTAATCAGCTCACTTTGACAGCTGCCTCAGTTCTTTCCTGTTAAAAGACGTGACACTGGCTTTAGAGGAGAAAGTTGCAGGGAATCACATTCTGCACTGGCATCCCAATGGTTTAATTGAAGATGAACACTTTGTTCAACTCTTGTCCTTTTCCCTGGGGTGGCCAGCATTGCTTCAAATGCCTGCTGACTTAAATGGTGACAGCTGCAGGACACAGACTCATGTATCACAAGCTGTGTGCAATAGGAGATAGCCGAAGGGCAGAACTTCAAAGACACTGGTTGCAACCACCCGGACAGCACAGGGCTGTTGCCACTGCCAGTTGGTAGCTCCAAGCTCAAATGTGGGGCTGTGGCCTCACAAGCAATTGGACATTAGCCATATCTTGGAGGTGCTGTATATCTATCCCAAAGAGAGGCCGGAAGACAGAGGTGAGTACAGTGCTGATTGCTTTAACATTTCTACTGGCCTTGTTTGGTTCCTCCAAAAACTGACATCAGTACATCAACAAAATTTGTCTCCCCTTAGGAGAAAAGGACTGTAATTAAGTTGAGGAAGAATTAGGCTGATTTTAGCATACTTTTTCCAGCACACCAGCTTCAAAAGATATTTAAATATTTTTGTAGAATAAGAATAAACTGCATTTTACGTTTTTCTTGGCACCTGTAATGTAGCTCATAATACTAACACCTTCATAGGAAAATTATCCACATCCTGATCAACATCAAAAACTTCAGGTACTATTGGCTTAGAAAGATATATTGACCTCTAACACTAATCTGGAAATATAATTTATTTCCAGACTCAGGGAGAGTGTAGACTCTACAGAGCAATGTAGGTTACTGCTAAAAGTATACATTGGGCTGCTTTACCACACTTAGAAATTTCCTTCACAGGTCTTGCCAGATTGCTTTCTACATTTCTGTTGCTGCAAAAGAGACTCAGACCTGCACATCTACATGCATTTTATGTTTCTACGGATTGACACTGAGCCTCACTCTTGCTCTGTGACCTCTTGTACTACTTCCACTTGGCAAAAAGGACCTTGGGTAAAGACACAGGGTTGCTCTACAGCTAGAAATAGTCTGTCAGGTTGGGCCCTCCCTCAAAGAAGCTATGTTGGAAGGTGCACATTCCCTAGTGCAGCGTCACACTCATTTCTTTCCATCCCAAAACTAAACCCATGGAGCAAAAGAGTTGAGCAGTCTCCCTTCTCACTGCTGGAGAACAAAGGGACAACAGCAGGATGAAGAACAAACACCACAAACACATTCAACCACAGTCACAACACCACCTGTGTTCTTATTTCTTTCCCAACCTTTGCTTCTAGGATCACTTTCCTGTGACCTAAATATGGATGCTCTAGATACATATTGCAGTTTCTGGTGCATTTCAACCACTTCTTTTCCCTGCTACATACTGGGCATCTCAGTTTACTTCTGATGTTTAAACTCAGTAGAATACGTGTCAGCAAATGTAGCTGTCATAGCTTATAGTAGATTTGTTAAAAGAAAATGAAATCCTTTTACTATTTCTGCCCAATTAGGAAAACTCTTCTTTATTTAGGTAGCAAAGAACTATGCCTGCAAATAAAGGCACCAGAAGTCCTCATTCCAAAATCAATGTATGTGATTAGGGTGAAAGCCACATTTGTAATGGAGCTTGAAGAACACAGATACACTGTGCAGTATAAGGCACAGTGGACTAAGTTCATCTCTTGCAGAGTGAAATATTGCCTCCAGTTACCTCCATACAACACCATTAATTTAGAAATAGACTTGGCCTACTAGCCTCTTGTTAGCTGTTGTGTAAAAAAACTGATTAAGTGTTGAGAGCAGTACAAGCATAGAGCCACAGAAAGGCATCTCCACAGCAATATGAAGGAGACAAATCCATGCAAAGATTTCTTAAGGCAAGGCATAATAACTGGGAAGAAAACATCCCTACATCTTTTTTTGTCATTCCAGAAAAAAGAAATTACCACCTGTCAGCTGTCTGCCAAATTCCAGGAGGCTGGAAGGAAGCTGGTGATCACACCACCACAACATTTGAAGAAAGATCTGACTGAAAACCTTGCTATGATGAAGAAAATTCATCTTTATTCCATCCGTGTTGGTCACCGTGACACTAACAGGTTCTGGTGTCAGTACAAGCAGCAGAAACTGGAAAGCATACCAGAATTTTTAAAAAGTACCTACAGACTTCCAGAACATCAACAATACAAGAAGGAATAATTAAAGAATGAGTAGTATATTTGCAAATCTTTCTCTGTCCTTTAAATACTCCTTTCATACAGCTGATGAGGTAGGTGCAGAATGCTTCTAGTTGCTTAAATGCAGTATTATGACACTTTCAAAAAGTGAATGTTAGAAACCTAAATTTCAGAAGGCAATTCATGAGAAAAAAAATGTATCTTTCAGCTATGATTTTTTTTTAAGGCAATTTATGGCTAGGAACAATTGGAGTTGGTCATACTGAGAGCTCTTACAAGTCTGAACCATTCTGTGGCCTCTCCTCAGGCAGCCATATCAGCAAGGAGGCACATTACAATTTTTATTTATTCTAACTTGCTTTGTTGTTTTCTGCAGCACAGAGATCATTAAGAAAGAAGTTTTTCAGATACAGAAAAATATAACCCAAATTTTTAACGATCTCTCTACTTCAGTTCCCCACTGCATATACAACTAATTATTTTTCAGTTGCACATTTCCTCAGCCCTTCCTTAATCTGACCAGTCATGGAGACTTAAGAGCTACTAATAAAAGGTGACCACTCCTCTAAACATTCTGGCACCTGAGGAGTGGACATACTACGCAGTCAGCTTGTGAGGCATTCTTTTGCTCTTGGCTTCTGAAAGTTTTAAAGACATTAGAATGGAGGTGGCATCTCCCCTGCAATCAGACTTTCCTGTTTGGGTATGGGTTCCAAACCAAGGCAGGATTAATGAGCAGAAAAAAATAACCCTGCAATTTCTGATGTGCACCTGGCTACGTCTCCTTCGGCATTCATTCCATACACACAAATGAAGGAGACAGAATGTAAGACAGAGGAGGCTCTTTCAGAGCTGAGGGGAATTTTCCAAGTGTTTAGCGGAATAAAAGTAGAGTCAGAAACATTATAACTCTGTCAATAATGTATTATACTTGAAAGAATCTGGGTATATCTATCACTTAGCAAGTTACAGTCTCCCTTTTGAGGGAGTTTCTGTATAAAAAACACTCACCTGAAATGATGGACCAGTGCTTTCAAACTAGTCAGCACCTGCTCTCAAACTTGATATACTCTCTAAGTGTTTTAAGTGAAGCCAAAGGATCAAGACTTAATTAGCAGTGAATACTTTTTATACTGATCAGTTTGCTCCAGATCTCCTCAGGGACATAGATTTGTCTCTATCTGGAATCTCCACCCTACCTTCAGCTGCTTGTTAGAAGGTTTGTGTTTTGTCACTTGGCAGACACTTACCTGCTGCATGTGCTCCAATAGAAGAGTGCTTTTGGCAGCAGAGGCTACACAGCTCTTGAGAGAAAGGAAGGCAAGTTGTAGCAGCTTCATCTCTTATGAAGGGCTCCAGCTCTGCCAAACCAAACAAGACAAGGTGATACGCTTTTCTTGCTTCTCCTCCATAGACAGACTCATTAGTGATTGGTTGGTCCCATGAGGATTTTTTCTTCTTTCTTTTCCTGAAGGGATAACAGTCATTCAGGTGTAACTCTTCAATTAAAAGGCTTTCCTTCTCTGGCAGTGAAAATCACACCTCTGCTTATGAAAAAAGCTTTGCTTCCAGCAGAATCACTAAGGTGAAGGTGAAGCTGAAGCCATTAGGAGTGGGATTTTCACAGGTGTCTGATGGTATCAGGTGCCTAAATTAGTCCCAGGCTTTAGTATTTCCACCAGTAAAAAGATACAAAACATGGTCATAAGGGAATGATATTGCAAAAATTAAGGCCACAGGAGTTCTACCTCTGCTGAATGGTTCCTGTTAATAACAGGAGGAACAAAATTTACTCCATCACAGTCTGGAACAGCTTAACAGCTTAGAACAAGCCTAATGGCTGGCTGGCTTGCTTGCTTGCTTGCTGTGGCAGTGACTTTTCTTTTTTGGTCACTTAAAGAACAAGTGAGCTAACCTTGTCATTCCCTTAATTTTTTGCAAGTCTCTAAACACATCAAATACCCATGACCCAGAGGGGAAAAAGAATGTATTTAAAATACACAATATGTGCCAAATCTAACTCATCAGTCTCTGCTGGGATTCCTGAGAGTCTTGGGAGGTGGGACCTGAAGCAGTTTATTTTGGCATCATTCTCAACTAGGGAATCTTTTGATAGCAGTAACTCTGGAATGGACCTGTGCTATGAGAAGAAAGCAGGGTAAGAGCAGAGGAAAGTCTTGTAGTGTAAAAGCAGGGAAAAATTGACTAAATTTGTCTTCCAGCGCTTTTCATTCAAGGAGAATAAGAAGGTGAGAAAAGAAGTAAAATGCAATTTAAAGTTCCATGGAAATGAGAAGTGAGAAAGTCCTTCTTATCATTTAGGTGATCATTTTGACAGACAGGATTGTACTTATTACAGTCTAGGTGCTATGTCCAGTCTCCAGACGAAGCTCTTCCAGTCTACTGGTACTACTTTTGATACTTGTCCTGTCTTTTGTAGCTCTGTCTCCGGATTCAGCTCCAGGAATAAGAAACATGGGAAATAAAAAAAGAAAAACCAAAAAAGTGTTCCTGTAGTTGAAGAGCTCATTTAGCTTTTGTCTTCTATGCTTCAGTTTACAATCTCAGTGTTTCTTAACATACTGTTTGATCTGGCAAACAGTCTCATTGAAGTTCAGTTTTCCTTTCTGAAGCATGGAATCAATTGAGTAATTGAGGTAAACATCATTTACTAACTTTTTCAAGTTGAAGTTGCAACCAGGGTGTCAAGAAAAGAACTGGGCAAAAGGCTCTTCTGCTGACTGTAGTTTCGTATCTTCACTCATCTATTTGAAATAACAGACCAATGTTTTTAGCTTAGTCTAGGAAAAAAATAAAAAATAATAATAAAAAAGAAAATAAATTCATTACTAGCTTTACAAGTCTTCCAGAGTCACTCAGGCACTTGGCTGGACTGTAGCAGAGCTGTGTCCAGACTCTTTCTTTGCCTGACCAGCATAGAAGCCAGGATGTATCTACCTATCTGCCAGGCTATCAGATTGGGTCTGGTGTCAGGTTGTCTCAGCCTGTCCTGCTGAATCTGCTCTATTTCTTACATAGAATAAATCACTCATTAGGACTCAGAGAGTGAGCAAAACAGTTTCATCACTAAATAGCTAGACAAATGGTGGGGGGAAGCAGGAAAGGATTGCAGTCCCTGCTCCAGGAAAAGCTTACACTCTTAAATTAAGCAGTCAGTGTCACACAGTCAGAAGCACAGATCTCATTTCTCCTAGGTGAGTGCACTAAGCCACAAAATTATTCCCTTCATGGCCTCCAAAATATTCCAAGTATTATCCCCATAAGGCAGAACAAGAGAAACTAAGATTTTCTTCTCTCCCCTCCATCTAAATTAAGGCCCCAGTATCCGAGTGATATTGGTTCAAATGTTCTCAAGCTGAGGAAGTAGTTTAACTCCTACAAACAAAATAAGTGTCCCAGTCTCTGGGTACTTGGACGAAAGCATTTGAATCTACTTTGTCTTTTTCTTTCCTTGAAAGAGTCATGAAACAAAACTTAAGTTGGACACTCTTTCATGCTTAATGAGAAAAACCTGTTATCCCAGGGAAAATAATTTTTACTTTGCTCAAGTTAAACTTTATTTAAGCTTTCAGTTAAATTCAGCTTAATCTCTTCTCAATTTTTTCCCATTTTGTTACCAATCCAATCTGTAATAATAGTGATTGATTCTCACAGGCATAGCCCAAATCTTTGTTAATTGATGAGGTGGTTTAGTAAAACCTTTCACAACAACCTGCTTGAAAAGCCAATGCGTTCCAGTGTTGGAATATCCAAAGCTCTCTTTTCTTAAGGATTTATGTTTGAACAGAGAAATTGAAAAAAAAAAAAAAGAAAAAGCAATTCTTGTTTGAACCTTGTCTTGTTCAGTCTCAGCTTGTAAGGAATTTCATTTAATTAAACTGGTTACAAATATATAAAAATATGTGTACATATATATATGTGTATGTGTGAGAATGTTTGCATTTGCCCTTAAAAGAAAGTGACCAGCTAGGAAATTACCTGTTGTCCCTGTTTCCCGTTACGGGAAGCAGGTTCTCACTACTGTGAAGATCTCAGATGGATTGCTTGCAAGTGGTTCACCAGGGCACTGAATTGAACATCTGTCCCACCAGCCAGCTGGACTTGTACACTGTGTCCAAGATTTCACCCATCACATTGAAAAAAAAGAAATATTCTTAATTTTTTCAAGAGTAACCCTTGACATTTTGGCTCTTGTTTTTTGAATCTTTATCATGCCTGGTCACACCTATTCCTGCTGTTCAGAGGCCCTACATAGGATCTGTCTCAATGATTCTCTGCTGCTGACCAATCTGGCTAGACACTGAAGTCCTCAGCTATTTTTTCTAAATTCACCCACCTGAATAGTATCTTAAAAAAAAAAAAAAAAAGTATTCTTTATTCACAAAGGGACAAAGGCTATTGCAAAGATATTAATAATATCCATCTAATTTCATTAGAAGTTCTTGGGCACTGAAAGGTACAAGAAACACTCTTCATTATTAATACAGACAGGAATAAAACTGGTAGAGTCACTACCAAGGCAAACAGATGAAAATTTTCCTTGTAATTCCCCATTATAGTCCCTCAGTTCTTCTAGCAGGAGAGAAAACGAGGAGAGCCTTGAAGTATGTGTTCTTTCCCAAAAACAAAGGAGGATTTTCTGAAAGATGACTGGTATTTTTCTTACTTTCCTTAGTTAAAACTAAAAGGAGTTGCTTGGCATACAAATAAATAAAACAATTGGCCATAGCTTACAGCCATTGAAAAGAACGAAACAGAGCTTGTTGAAAATTGAACTTTTCATTCAAAATTCCTTTGTATTTTAAATGATGAAGAGAAAAATGAAAGTGTCCTCTTCTTTCAGGAAAGTTGGAGCTACGAGCAGGAGCTGATACCCCCAGAGACATGCTGGTGGGATTCTGAGAAGACAGACTGGCAGAAGAGACAGCGAGACTGACTTACCATGTAACCCATAAACTCAGTGAGTCCATGAAAAAGTTTGATTTCACCCAACCAACTTTTCCCCACAGCAGAGTGCTGAGTTTGAACATTTGGGTCTAATTTTTGAACCACTCTTGCTTCCCAAGTAACTATTTCTGCATTCTTTGGTACCTCCATTTTGCATGGTCCCTACAGGACATAAAGTAAATGGGGCTGGTAAATGCAGCTCTATATCTCATCAATATCTTTTAATAGCACAGAACAGTTCAGGTGTGGTTTCAGGGGATATGAAGTAGATATTTTGGTGGCAGATAACATTAAAAATATTACGACACATATCTAGTCAATGCAATACATCTTTCCTGGAATCCTAACACAAAGGGTACGTGTCTGTGTGTACATGTGCACGCAGATTCAGGTTGTTTGTGTGTAAACAGAATGGTGGCTGCCGCCATAAAAAGTGCATATTCTTTTAAAGCTTTTAGCATCTTTCATCACACCTATCACGTAACTCTCCCTCATAGTATCCTGCTGACCTCAGAATCACAGAATCACAGAATCACCAAGGTTAGAAAAGACCTAAAAGATCATCCAGTCCAACCATTCACCTATTACCAATAGTTCCCACTAAGCCATGTCCCTCCACACAACCTCTGCATACCCGTGACAGTTAACCTGCTTCTTTATCACCGCATGTGGTGATCGTTCATCCCTTTAGGACTGCTCTGTCAGGCACAGGTGAAGTTTGCATGCTATGGACTAAGCCTCAGTAAACTTAAAGGCACTGGTGAGCCAGTGGTGTTACCAGAGAGACCCTTGAAACCTGCAGGTCAGGTCTGCTGAGCCAGTCTTTTTCAGCCACAGCTCACTGTGGCTTATGGTTATTCACCATCTAGGCCTATTCAGCAGCAGAACTAAAACACAGAGGCAGTAAATCCCATTGCAATCTCCTCCATATATGACACACTTTATTGTAACAGAATAAGGGGTTCAGCTCTGTTGGACCAAATCAAGTTGCCCTGTGTTAAGTATCCCATTTTAGATTCAAATCCCTGCTAAACCCTCTGCTTATGCTTGTGGTTAACATTATTTTTATATCTGTCTTCAGAAATGAAAGACAGAAGCAGCTCACACATAGCAGCAACAGCATCAGCAGCTTTTAAAGGCTGACTCCATAGATTAAAGGGTGATACACTGAGCACCACCACCCCAGTGTCTACTGATTAGGTCGGGAGAAAGGCTGAGTGACAAACATGTTTCCAATCTGCCTAGCCCATGCAGCGAAATGGAGCAATCTGGCCTGAAAAGGGATTTAGACTTTTGTTGTGCGCAAGGGGGGGAAAAAGCTGATTAAAATCCATCAACAATGCTTTCCCTCTTGGTGATCTCAGAGATAAGGAACAGAGTCTGGATACAGTTC